AGACAATGAGCCCAAACACAAAGCCAAGGAAACTCTCAGTTGGTTTCAGAGAAAGAAACTAAAGCTGCTGGAAYGGCCCAGCCAATCACCTGACCTGAATCCAACAGAAAATCTATGGAAAGTAGTTCATATCTCTTACCCAGCGGTGTCAAATTAATTTTCACCGGGGGTCACGTGAGGGTCATGGTTGTTGTAATTAAATTAAACGTGTCATGTTTAACTTTGACCAAACAGAAAATGTCACCTTTTTAGTCACATTGCTACGGCTGAGCAAACGTTAATTGAATACCTGGTATTTCCTGCATAGAAACAGCGTTTTAACACATCCTCTTACAAACTCTGAAAAGTACTGTGTAAGAATGACTAAATGTGACATAAATAATATAGAAACATTATTAAAAGTAAATGTAAGAGAGTTTACTCACAGTTGAGTTTTGTAAATGTATGGTGAACATTTGTGGGAGTGAAGAGTTTACAAAATCATCACGTGGTTAAAATAACTCTCAAGGCTAGAGTGAGCTGCTGTACAAAACATGGAATCTGAAACTGACTATTTGATTAAATCTAAACTGTGTTGTGAGAAAAATGATACAACCAAGAAATTAAATAAAGTGGTTCAGTATCTTGCACCACATGTAATATTTGAAGGCAGTTTGGGTAGAAGTATATGGAAGACATTAATTTCCAAAGATCAAAACATTTTTTTAAGAATTTGAAAGAATCTCCACTAAGATGAAATAGAGACCACAATTTAATTTTAATCTCACTTCGATCAGTTTCAGACATCAGGCTGTGTTCAGCTCAGTTAAACCAAAAAACATGAAATTTAAAATACATATACCAAAAAATATAACACCTATATCAGATTAGTAACAAGGACAAAAAAAAAGGAAGCTGAGCATCCTAAACAGTAGGCACATTTAAAAAAAACTATTTAAATCATTTTTAACTTTGGTTTATTTCTCTTCTTTATTTGGCATTATGGGGCTGAGGGTCACCACACAAAATCATCTGACTCCAGTCCAGACTGCCCTATCCCAGATTCCTCCTCTGTCACACCTGTTCTCTATATGCATTTACTTGCAGCAATAAGCTGCTTTTGTGAGTGATTTTAATTGATTTATTCAGGGTTTTTTTATTTAAAAAAACTGTCCCATGTTCTGTGAAAAGTTTGTTTTAGTGGAGCAATCTCATGTCTATCTGCACAGGACATCCAGAAAAAACGTCAGAACAAGGATCTGGTTGAGCTGCAGTCCCTGATTGATGCTCACTTTGAGTGCAGGAAGAAAGAAGAAGAGGAACTCATCGCTCTGAAAGAAAGAATTGTGAGATTTTATTCAAACAAGACATGCAGGATGTATACAGTTGTCAGCTGAAGCATTTGCTAGTTTCTTTATTTTTTCTAAATAGAAGAACATGTTGACGCTCTGTGTGTTGATTTAGGAAAAGCGTCGTGCAGAGCGAGCTGAGCAGCAGAGAATCCGTGCTGAGAAGGATAAAGAGAGACAAGCCCGGCGCGAGGTACCAGACACCTGATGGATCATTTTTATCCAGTTTAGTTCAAACTTAAAATCTACAAATTATTTAAAGTTTAATGAAAACATCAAGTTTAATAATATATTTAAAAAACATCAACCAGACACTGGTCTTCATTTAAGTGAACACTAACTTCTGCTGGTCTTTTACAAGCTCCTATTCAGACAGAATACTTAACTTAATTATTAAAAAGACAAAAACTTTGTTAACATACTTATCTGCTGTATACTGAGTATGTACATTGTTCTGATCTGGTATATACTTGTCTACCTGTGATTTTCCAGGTATATACTGATTATGTACATGGTACTTATTTGTTATACCACATACGTAGCTAGTACTTATTTAATACTAAGTATGCACATCAAGGTATGTAATGAGTGGTAGTTATTTGGTATGTACCTAGTAATTATCTGGTAAACGCTAAGTATGTATCTGGTATTTATCTGGTATGTATTGGTTATAAAATTCTACTTACCTAGTCTTTACCTAATATATTCAGGTACTTACCCAGTTTACCAGGTAAGTACCATGTATGTACCTGTTAAGTACCTCATATATACCCAGTAAGCACCAGGTAAGTACCTTGTAATTAGGAATGTACATACGTGGCAGCTGACTATCAAGTTTGTATCATTTCCGTACAAATCAGGCACCAGGTACTTATATTGTATTATGTATTACTTCCCAAATTTATTAAGTTGAAGTCAATCAGTCATTCTAAACAAACCTTGAAAGGAAGTACAAAAAAACCCTTGTTTTTCTTGTTAAATGGCTGTTTTCCTTCTTTCTCAGGCTGAGCGGATGAGAAAAGAAGAGGCAGACATCTTGAGGAGGGCTGACGATGAAGCCAAAAAGAAGATAGCTCTCACCAACATGGGTTCAGGTTTCAGCAGCCACCTGCAGAGGGTATGTTGGGTTCCATTTGCATTTTTGTTGTTGTTGTTGTTGTTGTTGTTGTTGTTGTTGTTGTTGTTGTTGTTGTTGTTGTTGTTGTTGTTGTTGTTGTTACTGTTGAGATTTTTCACATCATTTCCTTATTTGAAATGAGGTGAAGTTTTTTTTTCTTACAATGTTTACATTTCCAGATTGACCAGAAGAGAGGCAAGAAGCAGACTGAAAGAGAAAAGAAGAAGAAAGTTCTGGCCGAGAGACTCAAACCCCTGAACATCGATAATCTCTCCGATGACCAGCTGCGGTAAAAAAAAAAAAAAAAAAAAGGATCTAAAAATTTGTCATCGTCTTTCATAGTTGTGAAGTTGTCTTTCAAAGCAGATGAATCTGATCAAACAGCTCTTTAGGCTCACGCATAAAATCAATCTGTGACGGACAGAAGGGAGACGCCTCTGTAGTTTCCACAGGACTGAATGCTTCATTTCCTTCTTAAACATTGAAACAATCCTTAAAGTCTTATGAGATCTTTGTCTCGTTATACAGGCTGTGATGATGTCCTCTTTACCTTTCTGCTGGTACGGCATCAATACCAGGGCTTTGTGAGGTTCTAGACTTTTCACAGCACTTTGCACTTCTTCTAATGTTATTGCATCATCAGCATCGTGGACAGCAGTGATGATGATTTAATAATGGTGATGATGATGTTTTAAATAATAGTGTCTCTTGTGTGAAGGATGTGAAAACATTTTTTAAGAAAAGCTAATAATGTCAGAGGTAAATATTATTAACACTCTTGATCTCAATCAAGTTGAAAATTTCTGGTGGAAATCGAAAAAAATGGTCAAAAACAAAAGTCCAGCCTGAACAGCAGATCTGATAGCTGGAGCCAGAAATGGTACTGTATCTTCCTGTGTCAGAGGATTCAAGGTGTTAGAAAAAGCCAGAGATGCTGAAACAATACATACAACTATAAATGGAAACTGTGGTCCTAAAACATATCATAATA